AGTAACTCATTACTCAGAGATTTTACAAGAAAATAGGCCTATCTGTTACTTTTTTAAATAAGTAAGGCAAGTTACTTTGTTTTCCCATTCACTGACTCCTCTCCCGTCCCCGTGTTGAGAGGAATTGAGAGTGAGGTGCAGAGGCACTTCCTTCAGCCCGAGGCTTATTCATTTCCCTTTTTGTGTGAAAGGGCCTTTACAGTTGCCAAAAATATAACTTTTGGCTTTTTTGTTATTGAAAAACAAAACAAATCCTGCACACTGCCAAACTTTGCAAAAAAAGTATCAAAAAAGTTTATTTACAACGTTTCGGTCAGGTATAGTCAAACATGTAATTGCAAACTAAATCACATTAAAAAGAAATAGTGACCAATCTCTGCGAAGGACCATCGATTAATAATAAATAAGCAAGCCCAGCTCAGGTGACAAAAAGTAATGCAAAAGTAAATGTAATGCATTACATTCCATAAAAAGTAACCAGAAACCGAATTCACCACAAACTCACCGCATAAACATTTACAGACAAAAACCAAACTCTGTCCTTTCTATTTCTATCTCATATGCACATAATCAGCAAACTGGATGGAAACATTTGTGGTTAAGATTGTTATCTTTATAACTGAGAATAAGACATGACCTTTCTTTGAAAGAAAACAAAGATAGGAGTGTAAAGCCCTTTTGAAGAGCAGCTTAGAGGGTTCAAAAGAAAAACTTAAAATAATGTATTTCTACTTACTTCATTTCATTTTAAATGTAAAATGGGCATAGGTTTTCTAGTTTCCTTTACAATTTCTAAGACATCACTATAATGGGATGGAAAAAGGAGTGTGATTTAGGAAAATTTGATTAGGCTTATTGAAAAAATTAGTCAGATAAATGTTGCGGTCATCCATTCCAGTTGAAGAGAACTATACACAGCTTAAAGGAGTCATGAACTGAGAAACCAAACTTCCCTTGATCTTTTGACATATAAGAGGTCATTATACTATAAAAAACATCCTGTAAGTTTCAGAACTCAAAATTTTCTGGTTAGTCTAAAAACAGCTTATATTGAAGGCAGTCTGCCAAAACGACATATTTTGGAATGTTCTACTCTACATTTCATTCTAACACAGGAAACCCACTTCCACATGCTGTTACTCATCACTGTGTGTCCACAAAGATTGTATGGAAACATACTAAAAAACTTTTACTGAAAGAAAATGTTTTATTTGTCAATACTTATAAAGAAGAAAAAGAAGAAGAACTGCTTACAAAGAAGAAGAATTCTTGCTTCATATTTTTCATCTATGATTTAATCAACGACACACATTTTAAACAACAAACATGCCATTAACATAATATTTCAATGATAATGGCTCCTCCAGCTTTCTAATCTATTCAGTTTCTGTTCTGACAGGAGCATAGTGAAATCTGAACTGGGCACTTGTGTTTTCTTGTGTCGGTTTTGTCTCCTGGTCATCAAGTCTACAGATGCATAACACACCTCTTCATCATTATTTTCCTGTAATAAAAATGGATGTTTTGATTTCATTACATAACATATTTATTACAGTATAGTACATTCTAGGTAACTTTTTTTTACACGTAACATTAACTAATGTTACATTATTGCATTAATACATTTACAAACAATGAGCAATATGTTTGTTACTGTATTTATTAATATTTGATAATGTAAGTTTATATAAAATAGATCTGTTAGTTCATATAAGCTCAGATCCATTAAATTATATTAACATATAGTTAATGTTAGTTCATGTTAACTTTTTTTTTTTTCATTCATTCATTCATTTCTTTGCAACATTATTGTAAAGTGGTACCCAAATCTTTTTAAGCTATGGAAAAAAAGAGCCAGTAATTGAAATCGTCCATATTGTGAATAAACTTGCGTGTTTTCGTTGGTCATACCTCAATAATATTTCTACCTTTTAGCTTGTGTTTTTGATCAGTTGCAGAATCTAAAGTGGAATATTTAAATTAGAGCGTTGCAATTCATGCAGTATTAAAAAAATAATAATTGTCATTGACAAAATCTGTAACACTCTGGCAGTTCAAAATAAGTGTATAAATCTGTGAATAATTAACTGTAGCTTTCCTACAACAGAGGCAGAATACACAGATGGAGGAGAAGAGATATTTTTCCACACCGGTCTCAGTAAGCAGCTGAATTCATGCCTGCCCATGATCTGTTCTTGGAGGAATTTCGGTGGAGCCCCGCCCATACTACTGCTGCTGAGGGTGACCTGTGTCTGACCTCTGTAAATTGTACTGAGGACTTGGAAGAGGTTATACCCCAAAACCTCTCTTCCCCATTGTTTCCTCCCAGCACTGAGTCTCCTGTGTCTCTGCTAGTTCCGTCAAACCCTGAATTTCCTTCATCAACCAGTACAAAAGTCTTCTATGGTGACCATGCTCCTGCCCAGCCTCCCTCTCCATCCTCCTCTGCTAAATCCAGTCAGTTCTCTGACCCCACCTCCGCTGGATCCCTTCAGCTCATCTGTTAGTGATTCCACCCAGCTGTTCTGAGTCACCTGGGGCTTTCAGGTCTTAATTTAGCATTAATTTCACCTTAAATATACAGCATGTGTACATTACTATTTTGGAAAAAGAAATTGTGCACATAAATTGTTCAGTTTATTCCAATCTATCAGTCAGTTACATTTCATAAAGGCAATTTTGCATTTCTGTGTCGTTATCAAGAATTGGTCCTGATGAAATGGTTTATGGTTGAGTGATTTTGACACCATTCTCTGTAATTGTAAGGAGGACCAGACTAGTTTGGACTATTAGCCACAAGATGGAGCCATTGAGTGATCATCGTTTACTCTTTTGGAATGTATTCATATTCACAGACACGACTCAGAGAAACAGGGCCGGATTAATGCACAGGCCTAATGTATTTTTACATTAATAAACATTCTTGAGAGGACAGCAGACATATCCACTCAAATCATAGCCGAGTACAATAAAAAGAAAACTGTAAGCAGCTACAAGACAGATTATTTGAAATGAGGAGGTAGAATCATGGATGTTCAAATGTGATAAATTTGAGGCTCTTTAGTGAGGATGCCAACTCTTATTTGATTGGCTGACTGTGGTAGAGGTATTTCTGCTAAAGGGCTTTGAAACACTCAATCCAGGGCCGTGCACAGACCTTTTGAGGGGCATGTGCTGAAACTAAAC